TTTGTCACTTAATTTTCCTACATACTTTTTTAATGGTTGAACGAAATTATTTTCAGATCTAGTTAAATTTGTACACGGAAAAAATGATTTTGAAGTATTTAAACATTTAGATAGATATAGATCTGAAAATAATTTTGTACAAAACATCAAAATTTTATTGACCTATACATTGAACTATGTAGGACGCTCAAATTGATTGCTAAAATATCAAAACTTTTTACAATATTGTTCATTATGCTTGACTTTCCTACATAATTATTTTGATGGTCCTACATTTATTTTCAGATCTATATCTCTTGCTAAAGTATCTAAATTTTTAGATACTTCAGCAAAACCTTCTTTCCGTCTAGGAATTATAAATATAGATAAGATGAATAATGTAATTAACACAAGTGATTTACAAAAACTTAAATGAGTCACGGAACAATGTGTAATTAAATAATTAAAGACTCTTTAGAAAAAGTTCAAACTCACCAGATTCCTGATAACCGAGTTATCGATCCGCCTTATAAAAATTCGATGAAACAGGGATTAGTCCTCAACTCATTTTGAACTTATGAGACTTTTCATCGGGAAGATCAGCAGCAGGTTAACTCGATTACGACGTTATTTCATTGTTTGTGTTTCGATCGATTCGTGGGATAGTTAGAGTTTTTACCTTGGAAACGATCTAATTATTACGGACAATGACGTTCAAACCGATATCCAGTTACAAGTTGATAGGTTCGGAGCTAATGGCGTTCTAATGATTTCTCAGTTCGTATACTGTTTATAATCACGGATCGTATTGATAAGGTAGCCGCCTAGAAATGCCGATTGGGAAGGCTCGAGGCGGAAAAGCCGCCGGCGGCGTTCACGACAGAACGAACCACCATGTTAGCGTCGACTCGGGGGGTCAGGCTCGTCCTACTGCGCAGTAACGCCATCGAAAAGCTTTACTCCACTTTTGCTGACGAAAATTTAACACTGGTGTCCCTTCATTAACGTGTTCATAGAACCGTCCACTTTTGCCGTTAATTAGAAAGATTCAACTGAGAGGAAAAATAGAGCTATTTTAACATAATACTTGGCGTATATTGCGGAAATGATGGAGAGAAAAAGGGAGGGATTCGTTTGTTTGAGCGAAATTGTAGTAAATGAGTCAGTAGGGTAAAACTCGAATCAATAGAGAGGGCCTAGAATTATCCTATGCGTCGGGTTTAGTCTCACGAGCGTCTCAATGTTATCTCGTGAGATAAGCCTGTTTTTGTCGTAACACTAGACTACACTTAAATTTTCTCTCTGACTTTACCAAATTTCAAATATATATTGCAACGTTGCTCAACATTGTTCGAGTTTTCTAGATAATTACTTTAATAGTATGGTCCAATAAAATTATATACGAGGGCAGTTTGATAAGTCAATGACTATTTTTAACTTCTTTTTTACCAAAATTCAATTTTATTTTTCAACATATCTTTTAAAAAGTTTCTGATTTATCAAAGAGCTCACACGCGCACGCGCACGCACGCACGCACGCACACGCGCGCGCGCACACACACACACACACACACACACACACACACACACACACAAAATTATTTTCAGATCTGTACACTGATTGCGAGAGAAATATTTTTAATATTATATTTAACTATAATTACATATTACTATAATTGAGATTACTGTTATAATATTAATAATAATAACTCCACATGTATAGTTTTAGCAAGAAATATACATATAATTGACAACTTAAAATAACTACAATTATAGTTATTATAATCATAAAAATGATTGAAATTATCATAAAAATGATTCAATTACTATAATTTTATAGTCATTTTTTGGGCCACGGTACTATAATTATAATCATTTTATATAAGTTGCCAACTATATATATTTATTGCTAGAACTGTACATATGATTATTATTACTAATATTACAATAGCAGTGATAATCATAATTATAGTAAAATATGTAATTGTATATAAATATTAAAAATTTTTCTCTCAATGCATTTAACTAAATTTTTAGGTATTATTATAAATAAAATCATTCTTTTCATGCATATATGGTATATATCTTAAATACAACGCGCGCGCGTGAAAGTACATTGCACGGAAAGAACAATTTCATTAAAGTATCTAAAAATTTAGCTAGATATAGATTTGAAAATAATTTTGTTGACAAAATAATTACGTAGAAATCTCAAGCATGATAAGCATTACTGTGAAAAGTTTTAACATTCTAACAACCAGTTTGTCTTACATAATTATTTTGACAGTCCAACAAAATTATTTTCAGCTAAATTTTTAAATACTTCAGCCGTTTTGAATACTCCTTTCCGTATTATTTAGCTGCAAAGAAGCTGTAATAATATCGCTCTTTCTCATACAACCGTGAAGAAATTCAACTTTTGTCATTCTTCATTGCTTTTCCTCCTTGAAGTAAAGGAAGACACAGACTGTATCGTTCTGCGCATTTACGAGACGATCAATCGTCTCGGACGATGTGCTCGCCCCGGATTGCCATGTTTTCTTCTGTGGGCAACTGTTACGCGACACACTTACGTGCCTCGTGGACTCGGCCTCGGCAGCCATATGAGGCGCCGAAAATTCCGTCCGTCAACTCTAGGCGCGATTCTACCGCGGCAAAGCGTTTCGGGCATTTCGTGGCGAGGCACGCCGCGCAGTTCGACAACGATTCGATTTCGAGGAGGTGGCCGTACAGAAAGAGAGAGAGAGAGAGAGAGAGAGAGAGAGATAAAGCATTCATTACTGTTCTAGGGCGAGCCCTCTAAAGCTTGTCTCACATTGAGCATTGTGAATTATAGATTAGAATTCGATCAGACAGATAGTTTTAATTTCAATCCGTCACTCATTTCGTTCTGATTGGCTGAATTCTATTTCTTTAATTCATAATCAATCTTGAATATGCGTAGTGTGATACAGGCTTAAAAACATAAAGATAAGCAAACGATTTTTGGGAGTAAAAATGCAAAAAATAAGGAGAGAAATATATAGATAATAGCATTTATTAACATTTCTATGACGAGAATATAAAAACGATAATAACGAAATAAAAAGAAAGAATGGTAACACAAAATAATATTTACAAAATAAAACTAAAGAATACAAAGATAAAAATATGAAAAATAAAGATAAAAAAGATGATGAAAAATTTATAAATAAAAGAAAATTATAAATTTTTTTTTAAAGAAAACGAGAAACATATTGAACGCTCTGCACTACATTCCCTAACATTAGGTTTATTCTTTTCAGCTGAACTTGTTCCACCGTTCATCTTTCTTCTTTTTCTCTCCGTATTGGAAATGATTGGATGAACCGTGCAAGAAGTTCATCTAAAAAGAACACAGCTATTATTAAAAATAAAGGAGTAGCAACTTTTGGAACTTAAAAGTGAAATAGGTACATATTCGATATTTGGTGAAGGCAAGAAAAAAGTTCTAATACAATGTAATACAAGAAAATACAGACCTTATTATTATAAGATGCAAAAAAAAACAAAAATAAAGATTAAAAAATAAGATATAATAGATAACAAAGTAAAATCAAAAAAAGAGAGAAAAGAGAGAGAGAGAGAGAGAGAGAGAGGGGGGGAGGGGGATTGTGCGGCATACGAGAAGTTCCTCTTGACGAGAACCGACGGGAACGAGATGGGGCTTTTCCAAAATCGATATCGGTTCCTCGCACCTGAAATGCCTCACCGTGTGCAACTGTATAACCGGTGGAGATTCATTTCCCCGCTCGGAAGCCTCTGCAAACGGGACTTTTACAAAGGCGGTCGTCGCGCTCGCGTTTTCCTCCGAGCGTTCGCTTGCTCGCTCGCGTTCCGTCGGGCGGCGGGAAGGACTACAATTATCGCCAGTGACTCGGTGGTCACGTACGCCCGAAGGAATCGATAGATAAAGAGCGGCGCGCGATTTCCCCGGATGTAGACTCATTGCCGAACAAACGACGGCAGGCGGAAATCGTGCTGCATTTGTTTTTCCGCGTTTGCATTCCACAATCCGCCGCGAGTGCGCCATGGCGACACGGACGGCCGGCGCGGCGGCCTGCTTTGGCTGTTAAAATGCACGCGCGAGGAGGAAGCCGAGGATATTCGCTCACAACCAGAGAGAGAGAGAGAGAGAGAGAGAGAGAGAGAGAGAGAGAGAGAGAGAGAGAGAGAGTAGAGAAATTTCAAGTCTGTTCACGTTGCTTATA